TTAATAATCATGCATAGCATCACAGAAAATTAAATATCTAATCATATGATCGACTTAGTCGACCGACTCTAAAAAAAGTCGACTTTTATATCAGGTCGACTTTTTTTTAGAGTCGGTCGACTAAGTCGAGTCGTTAGCATCCCTAGACATACATCACTAAAGTCACGAAATTCGCAGTGTTTTTTACGTTTAAGAAAGAACTACATTTGCATTGTAAAATTTGGTACAAATTTAAATGAAACCTTGACGCAAACATTTCCTAAAAGGACACCTAATTTTTGGGATTAATTAATATATTGCATTGATATTTGAAATAAAAATTATCATTTGTGAAGCAGTAAATTAATGGCTCACTCCGGGGGGGGGGGGGACTTTATGCAGTGGAATACAGTATATGTTGCTGGATTTGTTTAGTATAAATGCATCTAAGCAATTTTTTATTTTCGCGATGAATGCGTTTAATTTTATTGCTTTCAATTACTAAATTCACTGTTTAATTTATTTCAGAATTTATAATGATTGTTGTTCAAGTAGAAGAAATTTTAAACTGAAATTATTCTCTAATGATTTTATTAGAATTTATTAATATTATTCTTCAAAGAAATAGAAAACTAAAACCATTGGCAATTTCTAAAGATTTCGCCTTGGAGTATTTTGATCCATTATACGACCACTATCAAACCCAAGTGGAATTGTAATATTCCATTTCCAAACATAACCATCCGACGCTTTATCCGCATTAAAAACTTCAAAACTCGCGCCCGGGAAGACATTTTCCAGATCTTCAGCAATAGTATCACCAAAATGTTCAGAAATTGGGGATCCATTTTGCGCAAAAGGTCTAACAAGCGGAACTATAGTTTCAAGAGGCGGATAAACCGAAAACAGACTAAAATCAAAAGCAGGAAAAACAATAGTCAATCGAGTGCGTAGACTTTTCTTGATTTCCTCGCCAACAGCCTTCATCATTGTGGTGAATTCTTCTATTAAGGTGGCAACTCCTTCTGTGGTAAATGGTTTCAGTATTTCGGTTTTGGGAATTTCAAAATGCTCGATTTCTGCTTCAAGTTCTTTACGTGTTACTCCATTATTCGATGATTCTTGCCATACAATCTTTCCCGTTCGATAATATTCCAGTATGTAATGAAATGCACGACTATTCCTATCTAAGAAATATTCATTCCCATTGACTGGTTGTAATAAATATCGGTTTTGTTCATGAAACATCTCGCCGAGTAATGTATTTGGATAATCAGTCAGTGTTGATCGATATGTCTCATACTAGTGGATATCAATTGATCTTCAACAACGAAAATAATATTGAATAATAATAACGTAATATTAATTTAATACCTTTGTACCTCCAACATTTAATATGATTCGTTCAGGTCCACTAATAGATTCGGCCATATTTTTAAAAAAATAATTTTAATTTTTTCTCTAGGAATTATATTTAGTGCAATAAAGTTTAAATTATTATCGTTATCGTTATGGGTTAACCCCATTAATTGTTTGATTTTGTCTTTAGTTACACTAATATAGCAAGTGTAACCCGCGTGATATCTAAGAATATAGAATTGTGTGCTTTTCATCAATCTTTAACTCTCCAACCAGTTGTTTTTGCGGTTCTAAATCCCAACACTTTACGATACCAAAATTTGCATATTGATAGTCTGAGTCCCTTACAAATATATAATAAGACTTATTGTGATCTCACATAACATTTCTTACTTTATATTGCACAAAACTTCTCGCGCAACATATAAATCTCACAAAAAAACTTCTTCCTTATCACCGATTCAGAATAACTATTTCAACTGTATAAGCATACAAATCTCACCATCGTGAGAAAGAACAAGTAGAACGAGCAATTCTTTTAAATAAATGGATCATTCAAAGCATGCAATCTTTTTCAGTAGTAGATAATGCTTCATTTCGTAATTTATTAAACAAGCTTGATCCACTATTTGCAATTCCTAAATGCCAAACTATACACAATAAAATTTTAGAAACATTTACCAAGCAACGAATTAAATTAATATTATTATCAATAATATTCCTGGTAACTATGGATATGTGGACTAGTATCAAAATGGAAAGTTTTATAGCAATTACAATTCATTTTGTTGATAAAGATTGGCATTTAGTCATTTTACTCTAGAAATTGTCAAATTTCAAGAATCTTATACAGGCACAGCAATTTGCAATTATATAATAAAAACTCTAGAAGAATTTAATTTAAATCAGAAAATTACTGCAATTACTACAGACAATGGCTCAAATATGATTTCAGCATGTCATCAAATAAAACAAAGACTTAATTCAAATAATATTGAATTTTCCAATTATCATTGTGTATGTCATATAATGAATCTTGTAGTTGGAGATGGACTAAAAAAAATGAATACATTAATTCAAAAAGTACGTCAATTTGTAAAAACAATTCACAAGTCTTATGCATATTTAGAAGATTTAGAATGATATCATTTTGTGGATCAAAAAATATTTTTTCAACCAATTCTTGATAAAAAAACACGTTGGAATTCAATCTTTTAAATGCTAAAATGCATTCAAATACTTAAAGATTATCTTGATATATTAATTTTACGATATTCTTTACTATACAATTTATATTCAACATCAGATGTATAGAATCAAATTAGAAATATTATAAAATTATTAGAGCAATTCGATATAACTATAAAGGAATTATCTGCTCAAAGTTATCCTATTATAGCTTATGCATATATTATCTTACTTAGTATATACAAGAATTTAAAGAATTATAATGGTAAAGATTTACTAAAAGAAATAGCTATGATGATGCACAACAAATTATAAAAGTATTGGCAATATATTGATGAAACATCACATGTGGCTGCATTTTTAGATTCATGTTATAAAAAATATTGTTTTCCTGGAAAAACTATTCAAGAAATTTTTGATCCAGTATAATGTTAACTTCCTATAACAATTATAAATACAATTTCAAATAGAAAAAGATCTATTTTTATAATGCAATTAACACAACATTCAGTAAATTCTTCTACACAACAAAATGATGAAATACAATATTATTGGAATTTACCACCATATGATAATGATGTGACACCTTTAATGTGGTGAAAAATGCATCAAAATGAATATCCATTATTGTCTAATTTAGTACGAAATCATTTGTCAATTCAAGCAAGTTCAGTTCCTTGTGAACAATTATTTTCAATTGTTGATGTTGTTATTAGTAAAGCAAGAAATAAATTAACAAGTGATAGCGCTCATACGTGTTTGTGTTTAAAAAGTTGGATAGATAAAAATATTTTATAGCTTTAATATTATTGCATGTATCTTGCTTTTTATTTATTTAATCGAAATATGTATAGCAATATTTATAATATAAACTTTGATTTATCTGGCAGTTCATGTGATCGATTTTTAGTCGACTTAAGTCGACTTTGACCCCTGAGTCGATAAAAGTTGAGCTGAGTTTAGTTGAGTCGAGTCGTTAGCATCCCTACCCTAGCCACGGCAAAAATTCTGCGCAACCAATAAGAATGTAGCAAATTTTTGATCAACCCGGCAAAACAAATCCATGCGAAAAACGCGAAAAATACAAAAAACATCTAAATAAATCTTGTTTGACGCACTATCAAAAAATGTCGGGAAGACAATTTTATATATAACCTTGATCTCCGCTCTACCCGTTATTTCATTCTGAAGATAGTAGCCAAGCCAAGGTATGTTTTCTGGCTTTAGGAGTGGCCTCCTTGTTGTTTTTCATCAGTGAACTGAGCGCTTTCGCTCCTTCCTTGCAACATTTTAGAGTGCTCCTTTTCTATGTCTACGACCTTTTCTTCCTATTTTGTGAGATATGAACTCATTTGGATTTCTTTTTGAAATAGATGCACAAATATTCTGACCATAAGTACTTTGAGCAAAAATCCAAGTGGACTATTAAAGGATTTTTAGAGGATTGTAATCTAGAACCGCCCGCTTGAACGGAAAACAGAGTGTTACATCAAGTGCCTCGAAACAATTGTTGATACTGAAGAAGGCCGGAAATATGAACAAGCAAAGCAAACTGCATAGATATAGATCGGTAAGTTGTAGTGGCGCGTAGATCTCTGGGGTTTACTATCGTTCACAAAGCCATTGTCGGGGCATGGATGACCTCCGGGGTTGTTTAATGTTCAAGGCTCCGGGCCGGACTGGCAATGGTTCCACTGGGGCATGGGTGACCTCTGGGGTTGTCTGATGTTGAAGGCTCCGGGCCAAACCAGTGGGATAGAAAATCGGATGGAGAATTATGGACATGTCAGCTTACTAACGTGTCTTTACGCTAGGGAACGCGACCTGATTATCAAGTGGCCAAAAATTGGGACAATGACCGTAAATCCTCGATTAACTTCTATCAACCAACATTTAATTGGAACTCTCTGGGTGTTGCAAATATCAGCGGTGGGACTGTTGTTATTGGATCAAAAGAAGAGGCAACGTCTTCGGATGGCAAACATGCTTATAATAGCACTGAGTACTTGTAAATAGTCCTGAAAAATGTTTTCTTATCTTTTACCATACTAATATAATATTCACAGAAATTGTCAGGAAATCAGGTCGATAACTCAACGTCCGGATCAGTGATTGGGTGCAAGAGAGCTTACGAAAATGATAAAGAAGTTTATGTAATCATTTACACGATTTTTATTACTTTAATGATATAAAAAATAATACACGATTAAATTTAACCTACTTCGTAAATGATTTAAAGTTTTAAGTTTACTAATAAGACCCAATTCTCGAAGATGCGCTGGGATAACTATATATGGGTCTTCGTAGTACCAAACATACCTTAAAACGATCCAATTTTCTTCGCACAATTCTTTCTTGAGTTGATCCCGTGCTTGCTGTTTGATAAAATTATTGGGATCTCCGCTATGAAAGAATTCGTGATATTTTTTGTGTTGTACGCCTTGTACTTTGATCGCAAAGCCATAATAGTAGTAAGGAATATCGAGTTCTAAACCTGGAGTTTTTAAGAAATCGGGCCATCGATTTTCTGATGGTGGTCCAAGATATTTTGATACAATTTCACGGCACAATTCTTCACGTTTATATTTGGAACAATATGGACACCATGATCCACTATTTTTAATTTGAGAAAATGGAGCAAACCATTCGTGATTTTTAGAACAACGCCAACGTAATGGAATTTCACAATTGATATATTTTTCAGAAAGGCATTTACCATTTTTATTATATGCGTACTGCTTGACATATTCAAGAGTGTAAGGTTTTCTATGAGAACATTCTGGACACCATGACCCACTATTTTTAATCTTAGAAAATGAAGCAAACCATTCGTGACCTTTAACACAACGCCGTGTTATTGTTGATTGTAATGGCATCACGGAACTAACAAAACTATTAGAAAGGCACCGTCCACCTCGAGTTTCAGCAATTTTATGTGCATCATTTATAGAATATTTAACTTGAAATGGAATATCCGCACAATGTGGACACCATGTCCCAGAATTTTTAATATTTATAATAGAAAAAATTAGTATTATTATAATATAAGTTAAATATTATATCTAATTTTCATGTAATTATATTTAGTTACATAATTTATATAATGTTACTTCATAATATTATAATATAGATTTTTTTATTATTATTATTAATATTATTTATTATTTTATTTTTTATAGCTCTAATTTGTTATAGATTATATTTATTTAAATATATATTAAAGTAATATAGATTTATAAAAATTATAATAATATAAAAAACTAGTAAAATTATTAAGTTATAATATAAACTAATAAATATAATACAAAATTAATTTAAGTATTATAAATAAAATTAGCAAAATATTAGTATTATATTAAATGAATTAATAATTAAAAATCAAAAACTAATAAATTATAATAATTAAAATTAATAAAAATAATATAATAATGTAATAAAATAATTAATAAGTTATAATATTATTTAATATAAATAAAAGATAATTAAAAATATATAATAACTAATAAAATTGTGAAATTATATATTATTTTATTAATAAAATTGCATGCATGATTATATAATTTTATTAGTCACTATATAAAACAAAAAATTTAATTTTTATTAATAAAATTAGATATATAATTTTATATAATTTTATATAATTTTATTACTAAAAAATTTTTGAATGCTGAAAAAATTCAAATATAATAAAATATGAATTTTGTTTTTATATAAAAGTTTTCAATTTTATTAAATATTTTTATTTTTATACAAAATACAAAATAAGATATTTATTTGCAAAATTCAAAACTTTTATTTAGAAATAAAAATATGCATTTTATTATATTATGAATAAATTTTGATATTATTCTATTTTTTAATAAATAATATTTATATAATTAACTTTATAATTAGAACACTAATATTTATTAACTAATAATAAAATAAGATATTATAATTAATCAAAATATTTAATTTTGTATTATTTAAGATCAAATTTCTCTAAAATATTAATTAATAAATATTATTACTTTTATATTATTATAATTTTTTTAAAATATAATTATAATAAAATTTTATTACAAATATACTTATCAAAAAATGATTTATTATATAATTCACATGGAAAATAATGTGTAATTTGAATCTTTTTCTAAATATATCTACTAAAATATATTTAATTATTATTAAATCATTTACAAATTTATATTAATTTGTATTATATTTTTTATATTTGCTTTATTGGTATACATTAAGTATTTTTCTTTAAATATCATAAAATCCTGTAAAATTGGACTTTAAATCACAAAGAACTTTAATTAAATTTTTTTAAATAACTTACATTTATTTCTGTAAATAATATAATATTTTTTCTTCATAAAAAGATTCAAATTTTATGCATTGACTTTTTGGTTATTCATCTAAAGTCTCGTTTCAAAAAGTTTTTGTGAAATTTTTGTGAAAAATGTATTTTGCTGTGGTTTTTATATAATCTGAACTTTCACTCGAGAATATTTGGATATTTCTCAGATAGAGTTAAAATAATAATATTATAAAAGCAAAATATGTTTACTTTTGATTATGTTCAAGTTCAGTTCAAAAATCGAATTGAACTCAAACTGAACTTTTGGTTTGAGTTCGAGCTTTAACTCACAAAATGGTTCCAAGTTGTAACCTATATTTCTGGCTAACAAAAAATCGAATATCTTGTAAACGACAAAATTAAAACATTTTAGTTTTGTCAAAGTAAATTTTTATTTTACAATATAAAACACATTAAATGGTTATAATTAAAGTTGTAGACCAGGTTTTTGGCTACAAAATAGTATAAGGTAGTCTATAACAAAAAGTTGTTATTTATGGAATTATAGAGCATTTACGATGAAGATTGTAAATAGAAAAATTAAAACATTTTAGTTTTGTCAAAATAAATTTTTATTTTACAATACAAAAAGTATTAATTAGTTGTAATTAAAATTGTAGTTCATGTTTCTGGCTACAAAATAACATAATAGAAACCCTAACCCTGAGTCGAACTGAACTTTTATGGTGTGTTTTGAACCGAACTTCGGAACACTAAATTATAAATGATCAATTTATTGTTTTTGTTTGTATAATTTCTAGGATTTTATTAACATTTATAATTCGAAATGATTTATATAATAAATGAAAATATTTTGAAAATTCGGAAATTAGTACCGTATTGATTAATTTAGAACAATATAATTCATAATAATAGTTTTTTAGAAATGTCAAGCGAGATTATGCTCGATCAAATCGGCATTATTAATTTATCCCCGAATGATTAATCACGTGTTCACACTATTGATTGACATATTTCACACGTAAATCCGTGACAATTATTCCCACATAAAAAATGACGCGTAAATTACATAATTATTACTCGAGTTACTGTACTAACGGCAAGTAGATACATATATATCATTATATAAAAATAGGTTGATTGATTGAATCTATATTTCGAAATTACTCTATAAATAACCATCTCAAATTCTTAAAAATTAGTTATCAATTAATGTCTTCTATTTTCACAATTTTTTTTCTCGTAAAATTTAAGGAAGAGAAGGAAATAATAAATTCTTGCGTTAATAAAAATCAACCAACAACAAACGAGAAATCGTATTTTATTAGTTCCAAAAACAACGACGACGACGATGATGAAATTAAACCCTCTTTATCGTCATCGTTTATACCAAAACTGCCGCTATTTTCACCACAATAATCTATTATCTTCGATTGCTACCAAATCTTCTGTTCTCAACAATAAAAAAACACAACGTTTCTTTGGATCAAAATCGGCACTTCACGAGGGTAACAAAGGCTATGATCATCTAGAAGAACAACACGACAAACAGTCAAATGCTCCTTTCTACACATTTGGTCCAAAAGACGAGGAAGCACTCGGAATCGGCCGTACGCATGATAAACCACTAACGGAAGGACACACCGTAAATAAAGCACACGAATTCTTGACAAAAGATGATTTAGCATCACAACAGCAAAAAGATATTCCAGATGATAAAAAAATGTCATCAACAGCTTCTCTTCCCGATACTTTGAATGACGCGAAAAACGTAACAAAAAGTATTGTGGATACATTTTATAATGCTGCTGCGAAAATAATGCGACCCGAAGGTCCAGATACTCAAGCTGTATCCGCGGCAAAAGCAATTAAAGGACGAGCAGATTATTTGCGAGAGAAATCTGATGACGTTCAAAATAAAGCACAAAAAATGGATTCAAATGAAGATATTCTCGGTGGATCGAAACAAATAATGGAACATGTTCAAGGTAAAGGTCAACAGTTAAAAGATGGAGTTGTGAATAAATTAAATATTAACAACACCGCCACCGTTAAAGATAAAGGAGAACAAGTTAAGGAAACTATAAAAGATAAAGGGACTCAATTAAAAGATACTGTTCAAGATAAAGCTCAGTATTTGAAAGAAACTGTTCAAGATAAAGCACTGTACTTGAAAGAAACTGTTCAAGATAAAGCACAGCAATTAAAAGAAACTGTTCAAGATAAAGCTCAGCAATTAAAAGAAACTGTCACAGGAACTGTCGGTGAAGCAAAAGAAACTATTCAAGATAAATCTCAGCAATTAAAAGAAACTGTTGGTGAAACAAAAGAAAACGTCATGGAAAAAGGAAAAGAAACTGTCACAGGAACTGTCGGTGAAGCAAAAGAAACTATTCAAGATAAATCTCAGCAATTAAAAGAAACTGTTGGTGAAACAAAAGAAAGCGTCATGGAAAAAGGAAAAGAAGTTGGAGAAAAATTCCAAGAAAAAGGAAAGGAAGCCAAAGAGAATATTCAAGAAATGGGAAAAGAAGCGAGAGAGAATATCATGGAAAAAGGAAAAGAAAAATTCCAAGAAAAAGGAAAGGAAGCCAAAGAGAATATTCAAGAAATAGGAAAAGAAGCAAGAGAGAATATCCAAGAAAAAGGACAACATGCAAAGAAAGCCATTCAAGACAACACTCAACAAGCAAAAAAAAGCGAAGAACTTAATGCTAATATTGTAAGTTTTCGAAATTTTTATTAATTAAAAAATTGGATATTTTCTATATAACTTGGTTAAAATTATTCTCATAGGGAATGCAAGATCAAGTGGGTCAATTGGTAATGCATGTGTGCTCGATTTGATTTACAATTTACAATTAACATTAACGTTAATGTAATTTGTTTTATTTAGGATGTTTCACAAACTTCACAATCAGCTGCAGAAGAGGAACAACAATCCGAAGTTAAAAAATACGGGAAAGGTGATCCACGATTGACTAATGTTAAACCAAACGACCAACTCCCTGATAGTCCTCTTAAAGAGTTACGTAAAGTAGGGGAGGCTACTGGATTTCAATAATATTGGTTATTAGATAGTATTTATATTGATGGTGCTTTGATGTATTAGAGAAGATTTAATGCTTTACTTTTTTTTATTATATGTATCTACGAATGAATGTACATACTAAAATGTAATATTGTTGCTGCTTCACTTTTCGCTTTTCTTTGTTTCTTGATTACTCGCAAAATCTATCAAATCCCTTTTTATGACAAATTGCAATTTGATTCTTCAGGTTGTTAACTTGGGTCTTGTATCAATTACTTTCCTCTATATATCTAATCTTCCTCTTCGTCAGCAGCACCAGCGAGACCAATCTTGTTAAAGGCTGTGTCTATAAAACAGTTTTATGCAATTTTTTTAGAGCCTCAATGTGCATTTGCATAGTATCAATTACAACTCTTGATATACGAGATCCTCATTTTCATTCTAAGGGAAAAGGGGGTATTTTGACGAAGTTAAAATCGTAATTGGAAAACTTTTTACAGATAGTACAAATATTAGTATATTTATTATGGCTAAAGAGCCAACTCGATTCTGTATAATTCTAGCTAAAATTACAATGCTAATTTTGTGAGGGTGGGGGTATTTTGACGAAGAAAACATGCAATATCTCGATAACCAGCGATCGGGATCACATGAAAATACCACCATTTTATTCGCCATGCCTAAACGAATTGAATGGTGGTATTTTCACCGTATGTTAGATCTTTATCCCTGTACAGTGCTCGTCAGAAGTAACGTATCCCCCATAACTTTCCATAGGTCATGTGTAATCTTCTGAAATATATCGTGTATTGTATGTTCATAAACTTTCACGTTCCAAATATAATCAGTTATTTCATAACACACATCTCAATATTAAATAATCTAACTCTTGACATCCAGTGATCCGATTT